TGGTCGTGGAGATTTTGGGAACACCACGAGCATATGGGGGTGAACAAGGTACGAGCGCCTCAAGCGCAAGCTCGTCGTCTGCGGCATCCTCGGTCCACGGTTCGCGACAACCGTCTCGCTACAACGGTTCTTTTCCGCATGTCGGCAAGATTTCACCACCGATGAGCGGCGCGTACGGATCGAGTGAACTGCCGAATCCAGAGGACAGCGCCCGCTATCAGAACTTATTTTCGCCCCAGTCCCCTATTGGTAACCATCTCACCGACAGGCCGCGGATCTCAGGCAAGACCCTCATTAACAACGACACTGCCGACGACGACGAGACAGGGGAGCTGCTGAAGGACCCAGTCGCATACGCAGAGAATGGCGCTGTCACGTCCCAACGACGCGCTACTGCACCTCAGCTGCCCATCGCGCATCTGGCCAGTCTGTCGCTCAATTCTGGCTCTGGCCCTGGATCCTCCTCGCTGCCTCCCTATGGGCATCAGATCATGTCAGGGCACCACGCATCCATGTCGCCCACTGGACTGAATGGCGGAGCTGGACATGGCCTTCACTATCCGATGGTGGCTCCTCAGTACGGTCGTCACAGCAATTTTCCGCCTGTGAACCCAGCTGATCAGAACCCCCCTTGCAATACTCTTTACGTCGGCAACCTCCCCATCGACACGTCGGAGGAAGAGCTCAAGGCCATGTTCTCCAAGCAGCGTGGGTACAAGCGACTTTGTTTCCGCACGAAACAGAATGGCCCGATGTGTTTTGTTGAGTTCGAAGACGTCACGTTCGCAACCAAGGCGCTGAATGAACTGTACGGTCAGCCGCTTCACAACAGCGTCAAGGGTGGCATTCGACTCAGTTTCTCCAAGAACCCTCTCGGCGTCCGATCCGGCCAGACTTCTGGGCAGGGTGCTGCCAACTCGATGGCCGCCATGATGGCAGGGTCCCCCAACGGATTCACAACAGCCAACGGCCCCCCACCAGGGCTCACTGTTCCGCCCGGTCTCAGTTCCGGCCGTTACGGAGGGTCATCGGGTGCTCAATCTTACACTCCCGCAGGCTTCTCGGCGAATGGCACTCTGTCTCATAACCCTTGGAATGGGTACAGCGGACCCATGGCCTCGGGCGGACCGAATGTGAACATGGGTGGGAATGGCTCCACACCTTACATGAGCCCACACATGCTGGGCAGATAGTAGGGTTCATTCCAGTGCATTCTTCGCAGTGAATGGCAGGAATCGCTCTGGCTATTTTTTTCTTTCTTTCTTTCTTTTCTTTTGGGCAAGCATGGTGTGGATTGGAAGCATGGTAACGGACGGCATTGGAGTTATCTGAAAACGATGCGTAGGAAAGCATGGGGGCAACCAAGCCATGACGGTCACTCACAGACCAGCCCAAAATGATGGCGGCTGGCTTACATGTCTGAACAGATATGGCATGGCCACAGCCATTTGTGGAAACATGGGCATATCGAGGCGTTGTTTCGAATCCAGTGGACCCGACACCAATTTTCCCTACTCAACAAAGACGGTGGGCGACATATTTGGCCATCGGGGAGGAGCCTGCAATTTGGCAGAGGACTCACTCTGGCGTTCAGGAGATGATATACCTTCCCGGCAGTCCAACACATTATCACGATTATTCCGGTGCACACGTTGATTTGGGTTTATTTCTCATTGTCCTTTTTTTTCCTTCCCCCTAGCTTGGGGTTTCTCTTCATGCAACGAGTTTTTGTCATTGGTTCAATCTGGTATTCACGATCTCTCCGGACCTCTGCCGAAGAGGGACATGGCGGGCGCAGACAGGTTCTAGCGCTGCAAGCGGTCTCTGCCTTCGTGCGACTTGTGGGCGGTCTCGACAGCAACAAGGAGTGTGTATCCACGATCAAACGCCCCCAAAGAAAGCAACACCGCAAGGAAACGAAACCCCTATACAAGGGGGCAATACACATGGCAAGCGAGGAGCATTGGCAAAGGATTCGGCGCCGGGTCTGAAGACAAAGCAACAAATTGTCCGTCGATGGACGGAAGGGTGTATCCCCATACAAGGCCTTTGTGTTCCACCTTCAACTCTTCGATGAGGAGAAATGATACGGAATGAGGCGCTGCGCTCTGGGGACGATGGACAGGGAACACATGGGAGAGACAAAAGCGAGGCAGAACTCGGATTCGGCGAATTTCGGACACGTGGGGGGAAAGGGGGGGGCGGCGTAGCGGCTGCATGCTCGATATGCACAACTTTTTCGTTGGTCCCTTCCACCACACTCTCTCACGCATTGTATCAGCGACACAGGGCGAGGCACATGGTCAACGGGGTACCGAGGCATCGCATACAAAAAGGATCAGCATAAAGATGGGAAAGGCAAGGACGGGAAGGATTTGTCAGGCAAGGCAAAAGACGGGCTCTCCTCCCACTTTCGACTTGATGGCACGGGAGCAACCGCGCAGGGCATGGGCGTGCTTCGAGCCGGATCAGAAGTGAGGAGAAGCCTCGGGCGTCACTGTTTCTGTTCTCTCTCTTTTTTTCTCTTGGTATACCTGGCTGTGGTTTCCTTTTCGTCTTGCTTTTTGCTCATTTCTTCTGGGTTGTTCCCTCCTTAGGCCCGATTTCATGATTCGCTGCGCTGGCGTTCTCTGTCTTTTCAAGCCCTGTCGATTTGGGAGCGACTCATTACATACCCCTCGTTTCACTGTTTTTCTATTCTTTCTGCCTTTTTCTCCTCTCCTAGCGACGTCGTGGTGGCATTGATCATTGCTGCTTGACGGGGAGCTCCATAGGAATGCTGAGACGAGCGGGATCCGGGGTTATGGGCGGTAAACTTTTGGTACAATACGAAGCACCTTCACTAGAACGCCAGCGAGCTCTGCAGGACCGCGAGGTCTCCAAATGTTAAGCTATGAAAACGTGACCAAGGAAGGTTATCTGATGACCGGTGTGACCTTGGTGATGAGACATGGGGTACGCCCAGACAGCCCCGGGCGGGTAGAAACGGGGTCCCTCGCAGTACAAGTCTCAGTGTTCGAGGGGCGCTCGGAACGGCACATTGTAGATTTGCATGTGCTCTGACAAGCATGCGCCGCGCCTTCTGCTTTGGTTCTTTTGCATGCCGTCGCTGCAGGGCGCCAGGCGAAAGCAACGCTACGCCGAGTGACAGGTTGGGTGAGGGGGGGCTGTTGAGTGAGGGCGACACTTCTGCGGGCGACACAGCGAGCCAGTGACGCAGCACGTACGCAACCGAGACGGCGGCACCATGTTGAAAGGGTCAAGCTGCCAGCGTCTCTTGGGAGGGGGGGGGCATGCCGCTCTTCAGTGGTTGGCCCCGGGCGGTGGATGGTGTGTGGCAGGCTTCAGATGTAGATTCACGTTGCGGGCTGACGAGAAGAAAGAGAAGAAGAAAAAAAAAGATTAATAAGGGCTGTCTGTTGACACGAGGATGTTCGTTCTTTGGGGCCCCTCGTTTTGACATGTGCCAAGGTATCGTAAATGTACTTATCTTACGTAGTCTCCTTTCTACTCCACCCTCGTTTTCTCCGAGGCGCAGAGGGGGAGAGGATGAGGATGAGAAACGGAGGGAAATGTCCGGGTTGGGCGTCTCGTCTTTTGAATGGGGAGTTGACACGTTGTGTTATAGGTGATGGTAGGCGCAGATGCATAGGGGGCCTTGAGGAAAAGGGTGTGTGGAAGGTGTAGGCATCACGGTGAGTTTCTGGACAGGTTTGTCTGCCTGTCTGTCAGTTTGTCTGTTGTCTGCCTGTTTGTCTGTTGTCTGCCTGTTTGTCTGTTGTCTGCCTGTTTGTCTGTTGTCTGCCTGTTTGCCTGTCTGTCTGTCTTGATAGCTGGAAGCTGGTGGCAGGTGCGGCAGAGGGAACAACGCGCCGGGCCCCCGACGAAGAAGGGCAGAAGGGTGGGGGGGGAGAGGTAGAAGAGGCTCTACGTTTTACTGGTATCGGGTATGATGTGACGAAAGGGGGGTATAGGATCGTGTGTCGAAGCGATGCGGGTGGCGGGCCCAGGTAGGGTGGGAGGCTTGGGCCTGGAACACGGAGCGGGCGGCAGGGCGAAGAGGATGCGGCTATCTTCAGTGGCGATGTCCCAGACACAGCGCGAGTGCTCTGAAGCTTGTTGATCTGACGTGCGTCTGAGGGGCGCGTGGCAGGGGTGGTATGCGGGAGAGAAGCGACGCGGTTCTGTGGTGGATGGTGGAGGGTGTACCATGTAGTGTGTGCGCATGGGCACGGCTGGTGGGACGGGCCTGACCGAGGCGGGGGACCGGTCTGCAGTATGGCACGAGGTGAAGGGTCTGCAGTATGGTACGAGGTGAAGAAGGGTGCAAGGCCTGAGGCTGAGTGGGTGTGGGCAGGATCCGGGCCAAGAGCACGGTTGGGGGCCACGGGAGATCACATGCGCAGTGGGCATGCAGAAATGCAGACACGGCGACTTGGGGGATTGGGCGGGCCAAGGCGCCGTCGAGTCTTGGGGTATCACCAGCAGGCGGAGGAGGAAGAAGATGCAATGATGTCAGTGAAGAAGGCATTTCGCATGTGTTATCTCTGTGGTTTGCAGTGGTTTGCATGTGGCCATGTCGGGGGGGGCTCTGCTCTTTGTGTAGCCCGAACCATGGGGGAAAGTTGCACAAAGCGGATCATAGGCAAGACTCGGTTGTCCAGTTGTCAACTCGTTAGCCGCGAGTTGTCGAGGCTGAAGAGAGGGTCGAAGTTTGAACACGAGAATCCACATACAAAGTCAACATGAGGTTGCCTTTCTCTGTTTCCGATTAATCATGCGGCAAGCTGGTCAAAGCACCCAGACAAGGTACAGTAGATCCAATGCTCCACCGTCCAGTCTCGTCCTGGTCCCAGGCGCCCGTCACTCTGTTCTCGGCCATGACTCGTGTGTCTCTCGCGCGTGGGTTTCTAAGATCCGACCTGCATCGGCGCTTGCGCACCCAGAGGGACCCCACGCCAATCTCAGTTGCGGCACTCATCTGGTGGTTTCCAGCACACTTACTCTTCAGTCTCCATCGCCGTGCTACTCCCTCTTGAATTCCGCTGCAGCGAATCCCGCAAGCGCTTCGAGAACCCTCTTCATCATATGTTTGGTTATTGGTTGGTGTTTGGTTGGTTATTTGGTTGGCTCGTCAACATTCATGGGCTTGTTGTGCCCTCGTCCTCTGTCACTCTCAGCCGGATCCTCCGCAACTCACAACCAACCTGCTCAACTCACGCAACAAGCCACAGGCCAGGCCAGCAGCTGAGCCGCCCACGCTGAGCACAACACTCTGCGCCGACATCGCCATGGACGACGACGCCATGCAGACGCTCACCACACCCCATTCGACCTCGACCTCGACCTCGACCTCGACCTCGACCTCGACCTCGACCTCGACCTCGACCTCGACCTCGACCTCGACCTCGACCTCGACTTCGGTCTCGGCTTCGGGGGTCACCAAAACCGCCCTCCGGCCCAAGCCCAAGATGAACAATGCCTGCGAGGCTTGTAGGGCTGCCAAGGTCAAGTGCCAGCCCAGCGTCCATGCCGGCATCTGTCGGAGGTCTGTGGCACCCTGTCTCCTGTCCCCGGCACTGCTGTCCCCGGCATTGTGCCGTGCGTGGGCAGCTAGCTTCTGAGAGGCTCCGAGACTGACAACAACTTCCCAGATGTCTCGAGTTCAAGCGAGAGTGTGTATTCCGGACCGGCCCGCGGACACGACGCCCCCGGCAGTCCAAATTGTATGACCCAGTTCCTCGGAACCTGCCCCTCCCCTGCTCGCTGCCCATCATACGATGAACGGCAAGCAGGGGTACAATGGCCATCTGACGAACTGACGACCCCCCAGTAACCAAGATGTGACCCCCCGCCCCCCGCTGCACGCCCCATCCAAGACGTTCAGCATCAACTTTGACATGCCGGCACCCGAGGAGCCTTCTCCTTCGTCCTTTGAGTCCCTGGCCTCCCGTCACGCCTCCTACATTGAGTCTCTGCTGCCCAAGGACAACGAGCACACGCCCATGTTTGATGACCTCGTGTTTGATGCCATCAGCTCATTTTCACCACCCTGGCGGCATCGCCCTGACGCCTC